CATTATCTCTGCAGATTCATAACGGCGTGACTAGGGACTCTAGAAAAAAGTCATTCAGTATCTTCATTCGGCCTATTATTGATGGCAGAAAGCATCGGACTGTTCGGCCACAGTTGTACGCAGAGCGTTCCACGTTTATGCGGATATGAACTCTGCAGGATAACAAAGCAAATGGAAGTAATGATATGGTTAGGACGGTATTTCTATGCATCCATCTATCTAAACATCTAAGCGAGCACTTTTTTTATTGGAACACCTACGAACTGGTTTCGAAATCTTTCGTGATCAACCTTTAAAAAATAACCATAGGAATATCTCCATTGTAATCACAATAACAGTTGCCTAACCAGCCGTTTTATTTGAATTTTCTTTCGTGTTTAGATCAATTCTTTATCGTCTAAACTTAAGACTAACAGCACTGCTTGGGTTTTTTAAATTTTTTTTTATTTCATATGACACGTCTTCACGTTTACTGTGCGGATCCCAGGATTTCTCACATTAGATTAGTTGCCTCAATCCATCATCCACGAAGGTCTTCCTTCTTTTTACGTGTGACTTCGGCTGCTGCTTGAGGATTTCCTTTTCGCCATTAGTATCGCCGAATGCTGGTTGAATCAATTCTCTTTGGAGCCCTGACGCGGCGGAGCAAGGGAGTTCCCATTTGGAATGCAGAGAGGAAAATTTTCTGCGACAGGTCTGGTCAAATTTTCCGACCCCTGTGGGATGAGAAGCTCAGTGAGCCCTGTGCGGGTTATTTATTTTGTGGTGTATTTGAAGCCTCATCCACAAAATGTTTAGATCATGGACGAAGCAGAATCCGATCGGCTTGTCGAGGAACGCTCGTTTATGTGGTCGTGGCCTTTTTCTACAGATGGTGGGTGTGCTTTGAATATTGACGAGCACATTTTGTCGCACTGTTGCCGACAACACTTCTAAAGAACTTAAATTTCGCCTGTTGTTCTGAACTGCAGTGGGAGATTGTTTTATTCGGTTTCCATCAATAGCACATAGTTCTAATGGATATTTGCTTTACGTGAAGAACGATGGCAGTGTTCCTAGTGATCATAAGAATCGTCCTATGGTACGATACCTTCAGAGATCGCTCTTATCCTCCTAAACTGGATATTTCAGTTTTGAAATTTCTGCAGTACTACTTTTCTGCATTGAGTTTAAACTGCATCTCTCATGTCAAAGTTTGATCAACTCACAAGCATGAATGATTTTTTTGGCATCGTCTAGAATAAAACGCGTAGTTCATGAGCCGAAAGGAATTTACATAACTGGGTTAGTGAAGAATCCAACCAAAGACCAAGGGAAATGAGAAGTGAAGTTAGATCCTACTGCAGAGCTCCTCTTCCCGATAATGAATGTCAATAATAGAACTTCTTACAGGAGAACACACAACCGTGGATTAAAAATACTGGAACCAACTCAAAAAATTTATATTCTGAAGGAATTGCAAGAAATCTACACACTACAAATGTGCTTGCTAAAGATAGGCATAATACAACAACCACTAAGATGCTAAGGTATTTGCAAAACATGGATCCCAGATCATTCGAACCTGTGATTACAGTTTCCGACGGCTCACGTGCTACGCACCACACCACTGAAGCCCTTGCTCTGGTTTTCTCCCAGCCAATTTCCTATCTAATGGAACATAATATCTTAAAAACTGATTTTGAGTAGACTTGGCTAAGAATAATCAATAAACGAGGGTGGTATACAAACATCTATTTGGCTAACGTTTTTGTGCCTTCGCCAGAACTAGATTGATGCGAGTAAGTGGTCCACTGCTGGTTGATGTTGCTATGTGGGTGTCCTTCGTCGCCGAATCCATTGAAAGACTCACCACTGGAATGAGGAACTTCACTCAACGGTGTTCTTTTATACAGGACGGGTGTTGTTCGATTCCTGCCTCCAATATGATACACTTTGATCGTGCAATACATCGTGAGCATTCGGTATTTCATTTGCAAGCATACGGCGTGAGAATAGAGTTTTTTAACCAGCTTCGTACCGTCCTAATAATACAAAATACTAAACCCGTAATACACCCCGGGAAAGGGTAATAGCGAGTTTGATCTCCACCGCGGCCACCTACGGTCTGGAGTTTTGCAAATATCTCATTATCATTGTGGTTGCATTTCACATAACACCCTTCTCTGGAAAATTACAGTAGACAGTAAATAAAATGACTAACATTATGGAAGACGTAGATCAGCAGTCCAGCTATTATTTGGTACTGGTTTAATGTAAGAAGGAAACTGTTTTCGAAGACGAGTTGCTATCAAAAGCGCGAATCGAGGCCCATCTACTTGATTCGACAACATCGCAACCGACAGCGTTCGTGCTAAAAGCCACAGGCTATTTATTGTATAATCCATACAAGCAAATGTCTCCAAAGGGAAAGGGGTTCCATGCCAACGGGAGTATACTGTGAATACACATTTAATCATCCTTTCCGTGAATGGCGACCTAAGAGATAGTCCTATACCAGACACTTCCACCCATTCACGATGAGAATAATTTCTCTTCAGCTGCAGTTTTTCTTGTTTTTTGACGATGAGGAATAATTTTCAATAACTAAGGGGTTCAAAGTTTTTAACACGACAGGATTTTAGAAAAGAATTTTCTATATCGTTCTGTGGAAATGAATAGTGGCTTTGCTACTATTTGTTGTTTCTACGGTCCATCATTTAAATACGTTGTTGTCAGCACTTAGAAGCATTTTGCAGCTCATTTTGAATCTCTTTAGTATTTTTTATGTCTGCATATTCCATACAATGGTCATGGTGATTAAAATTAAGTAGCAGCTAATTGTTAGTAAAACCACTCCTCAATGAGCCTTCGAAAAAAATGCTTCTTGTAAATCACTAGGTGTGGGGAATGCTTTTCCTGATATCATCACTCCTGTCTGCTTGCGATGATCTATAAAGTGAATGTATATATATATATGCTTTTATGTTTTATTTGATCCGTTTTCACATCTACTGTGCGGATCGCAGCACTTCTCACATCCAATTCGTTTCCCCGCATCCATCGTCTACCAAGGCCTTCCAAGTTTTCACGTGTAGGTTGAGGATTGAGGACCAAGGAGGTGTTGGTTATGAAGGTGTTTGGCCGAATAGATTGCTGTCAACTTGATCTTTCCAGGCTCTGAGGAGGGCGAAATCCGCCGAAACGTCAGCTTGTGCGTAAATAAAGAAATAAAATAGCACCTCGTGTTTGCTGAACAGAAGTGGAAAGAATTATACAATGACTGCTCTCAGGCGCTCAGACGGAACAGTTACAGCGTCCAGAAAAGCAATGGAGAAAATCATTCACGAATACTACTGGGATCTCTTCGATAGCCACGTCCACTTTCCGTCATATGAAATAAAGGGGGATAGATATGTCGCACCACCGATTCTACCTAACGAAATCCGACATGCCATTTCGTCGGTAAAGAATCGAACAGCACCAGGTCCGGATAGGATAAGACCAGAACACCTGAAGAACCTTCCTCCAGTCTTCGTAAACACACTGGCTCGGCTCTTCACACGTTACCTATCTGAATGCAAGGTCCCTGTTCAGTGGAAGACCAGCAAGACTGTGTTATTGTTCAAGAAGACCTGCACGATATCGGCAACTATCGCCCAATCTGCTTTTTGTCTGTCGCCTACAAACTTTTCATTCGAGTCATCCTAAACAGGATTGGTAAAACACTGGACAAAGTTCAGCCATGTGGGCAAGCAGGGTTTCGAAGAGAATTTAGTACGATGGACCACATCCACATAGTAACACGGTTCATTATAGTATCGCGAGAGTACAAAAGACCGCTCTGTCTCACTTTCATCGATTTATAGAAGGCCTTTGATTCAGTTGAGATAGAAGCAGTCTTGGAAGCCCATGATAGTCAAGGTGTGCCTACTCAATACATAAAGATTCTTCGTGAGCTGTACAAAAATTTCACAACGAAGGTATCACCATTCTACAACGATATTAACATTGACGTCAAAAAAGGAGTTAGGCAAGGCGATAGCATCTCGGCAAATTAATTTACCGCCACCCTCCAGAACGTCATGCCAACATTGGAATGGGATATTATGGCAGTGAAAATCGACGGTCGGCAGTTACACCATGTTTGCTTTGCTGATGACATCGTCCTTATAACAACAAACATTAACCAAGCAGAGGCAATGCTGGCCTGTTTTGATAAAGACTGTGGAAAGATTGGTCTTCGACTAAACCTCACAAAACCGATGTTGATGAAGAACGGATAGGTTTCGCATGTCCCATTCACGCTCAACGGAACGAATATCTCCGAATGCTCCAGTTATATCTATCTAGGTCGGGAAATCAATATTACGAACGACCTAGCTCCAGAACTGAACAGAAGGAAACGAGCAGCTTGGCAAGCTTTAAGGAGCATCGAGGATGTAGTGTAGAGAACAAAGAACACTCGACTCCGTGCCCACCTTTTCGACTCAACGGGACTTCCTACCCTAACGTATTCGTCAGAAACCCGGTCGCTGCATAAGCAGGATGAAAGGTCACTCAGCGTTATCGAACGCGCAGTCGAAAGGACGATGCTAGGAGTATCCCGTTTCACACAAGTAAGGGATGGCATCCGAAGCTCCGATCTGCGTCAACGATCAAGAATTAAACATGCCGTTCTGTACGCCAAACAGTCGAAGATAAGGTGGGCCGGACACGTATTGCGTATGAATGACAACCGATGGATAAAAGCCGTTAATGACTGGATTCCTCAGGATGTCAAATGTACTGCAGGAAGACCACCGACCTGATGGCCTCGACGAGTCCCTAGAGCGAGCAGAACCCACTGGGCTATTCTTGCACGTGTCAGGGAAAAATGGAAGACTTACTGGGGCCAGCTACTTGACGATCAGCGGGACTAAAGGTGATACTGGTAATATATATTGCGTGTGTGAGGTGAGAAAAGTCCTGGATTCCACGGAAATGATAGCGATCAGTGTATTGTTTAGACCATTCCGCATATGGAAAAGATACGAGGTCAAACCTGGGATCCTTCTGGTTTGCTTATCAGCACATGGCTTAGTATCTCGTATCCATGTGAGAAAGCAGAAAGCAGGAGATCCTCTATGTATGGTAGTCCTTCGTATGTCCACCGACTAGTTTGCTCGATTTCAGGGTAATCCCAGCCCATTGTAAGCAGTAGTTTAGGGCAAAAGAAGAATATCTGACAAATTTCAGATTGATTCTTGCTTGTTGTGGGAGCCACGACATCGAAAAATAGTATTCGACTGCAAAAAGTTGTAGCAGTTGGGTTGTTTTCTCAATCTCAATTTCATTATTCTAGGCGTGGCCCATGGTGCATACACTAGAGAGAAGTTTCTCGTATGCTTACCTTTTAACAGAGGAGGTACTGGAAAGAAAAATGGCACCGTAAGTGTCACATTCGTATTCTCATTTTTTCTTATTTTTCTCTTTCTTTTCTTGCACGATTTTATATTTTCTACTCACAGAACTTTTGGCTACTTCGTGCACAAAACACTCGTAGAACAAGTGTTACTATACATTATTTGTTTTGCAATCCATGAGCTGATACTAAATAGTCGAATTCAATTGATATATCGATTTTTCTCTTGCTATATGCTTTATAAGTCCGGAATACAATAAAGATCGCACCAATTTCAATATTACACAGTGGGCTTCGCAGATATCATCATGTTAAAAGCAGATCGCCATTATAGACAACGATTGCGCGAGAAAGAAGTGAAGGAAAGTACGGATTGGAAGACACAAGTTCATGAGTAGATACTAACTTATAAGTTTCGATAAGAGGAGGATTAGCGGTGACTCGGTTTCAAGTTGTGAAATAACTGCTGATTTTAAACCAGCCGCTCAGTATTGACTTTTAATTTCCTTTTCATGCGATGGCAGATAAAAGTCTTCAGGATGCTTCTTCGTTTTCTCAACATTTAAATGACGAGAGATTAACGTTTCGCCAATTCATCTTCGCAATCATTACAAGAGATCAGGTATATCGTACCTGAACTCATGCAATCACCGTCCCTGCCGTAGGAGCAACGCAATTTGTTGTTTCACATAGACAGTCATACAAGCGGTTACGAACTAACTGACGACGTAGAATAGTTGGTGGTATTTCAACTATCGCTAGCAACTCCTCTAGACCTGCCCTTTTAAACATCGTTTCATAGCTAAGCTTACTTCATCGCTAATAAAGGGCAACATAGACGGGACTTTCTTTTGGCTAAGTGTTTCGTTTCAATGCGTCGCTCTCCTTCTAAACCTATCTCGTGCGGTAACCATTTCGTAGCCATTGGAGATGGCTACTTGTCGAGTCAAGTCGCGCGATTCTTCCTTTAGTTCCCTGGTCGTGCACACAGAGGTGGCTGTTCAAACATGTTTCTCACAAGCGCCCTCTTTATGTGTAAAGGGTGGGAAGAGAGGAATGAACCAGGATTTTTTTGTTACTTGGTTTTCGGTACCACTTTGTCATGTAACCGCTACTTAATAAATTGATTTAAACGTTAAGAAATCGAAGCCAGGTCTCTTTCGGTTTCTACCAGTTGAATTTAATATACTCAGACTACTCATTCAATAATTCAAAGCATTTGTCCGAGGGAGAGAACGAGAAAGAGGGAGAACCCTCCACCCTTATCACTACAGATCTCCCTCTTAGAGTGATCTCCTGCTGGTTAGAAGCGGGGCAACGTGGCACGTTCCATGGTAGCGGATAGAGGATTAATCGCGAAAAAAAGCGACTTTTGCACCCTTTAGACACAGGTGAACCCAGGATATTGGCTCCCTGTTTCTGCTACGCAGATATGACACATGCCTTTTGTATTTACGAGGATATATTTTGCATGCGTGTTGTTTGTGCTCTCGTTTATGCGGATTGCATACTACTCGTTGATTCGCCCAAGAGCCTGCAATCAAGTAACAGGGAAGTACCTGTGGGGCGGTTAGGAGTCTGCTCCAAAAAATAAGTTGACCGTCTACCCTAGGAGAGATTGTCCAGCTACTCATCGGAATACTCAAATCCCATGTTCAGAGCTTAGTAAACTACAGTATAAAAAAGTTAAACACTGTAAAATAAAAGGGCCTCATATCTCTGACCCCAAGTGAACCATAATTCGGCAGCGTTGGATAGGACGAGTGCGAAAAGGCTGCCATAATCTCAAAGCATTGTAGTCTGCCTAAATTGAGAAGGATCAAGGTGACCATGTGTACCTACAATGCACGCACACTTGCATCTGAGTTCTCGATAGAAGAATTTATCGCGCGCGAAAGAAGGATGACATACGACGTCATCGCATTGTCCGAGACTAGACGGCGCTACCCACTCAACACCAAGAAAGAATTTTTTCTCGGAACATGCGACAGTAAAGGAGTCGGCAGCGTCGGCATTCTCGGCAACACGAGTTTGACTGCGAACAGTCATTCATTCGAACAACTAACAACCTGAATCGGACGATTACGACTAAATAGATGCGGATCAACAGCGGTTTCGATAGTCTTCGTCGTTTATGCACCGAAATCAACTTATAACAAAGAAGAAGTCGAAGCGTTGCATATGGACTTAAAGTAGTTCTACAGAGAAGACCATACATTCATTAAGGTTATCATCGAAGATTTGAACCCTATGACTGGACTCAGAAGAACGTCTGAAGAACGTTACATTTAGGCCTATGGATTATAATGGGACCAGCAGGATGAGTGGCTATCTGATTTATCAAGGCGATCGAGACCATTCATTACTTACTCGGATGCTTAGACGGTCCGTCTTCACGAGTTGCTTGGACGCTAGCACATTTTCCATTCGTTTTTTTTGCATCGCAGTTGTAGATCATGATGGTGGTTTTATTCGAGCATCGTGGAGGGTTCAAGTTTCCTATCGTGATCTGTAAAACAAATGCAGTTGCAATTCAGCCGACTAACTTTGGTTGCGAAAACGCTCGCCCAACGTATAGGTATCCGTCCTTGGGAACGCCTACATTCTCGTGGAGTCTCCTCTATAGTTCATTTCGTCCATCTGTCTTCGGTTATTCTTAGGATAGGATGAAATCAAGCTCTTTGGTCCACTGGCTGCGTCTCATCCAGTGTCCGTGATATGTGTGAGAGGATATCTTCGTAAAGAGTTTGTAGAGTACACTCATCAAACATCGGGCAATAGTTATGAAGGTGCCTTCGGTTACCCGCTTGGAGCATAGTGATCAAGCCCATCATCCTCCATTGTTCTGGGATTTTTTCTTTTGAAAGTACAATATCATATGGGTTGCGAGAAGCACATGTAGATTTTGGCTTCCAGCTCCAAGAAAGTCGTTGGTAATATTATCAGGTCCTGGACCTGGAGTTATGCCTGCTTTCATGCTGTCTATCGTAACTGGAATCTCAAAGGGAGAAATTGCAGGTGGTTCTTCTCCAGTGAAAGTCATCTTCTCAGACGGAGATAATGGAACGGAAAAGCTTGGTGCAGAACTTTTCCGTTTTTAATTCTATATCATTAGGGAAAGTTTTCGTGTCCCCATTTTTTTTCAGCAGGGCTTCAGTGACACATTATGCTCGCACAGCTCCCGACAGTATTTTTTCAGACTAGTTCTTCTTATGCTGCTTCTAATAGTTTCTTCTGCTTGTACCGATTTAGATATTTCTGCGGATCTCTTTTGCAGCTGATATTCATTACTAGCCACTTTAAATGGGTTTGGGCAAGATCAGTCTTCAGTTTTCCTTACTTCTCGAGGAACTCCTTACCAGTAATGGAGAGGCGGTCTGATCATCTTGTTTGAGGAACTGGGGGGAATTCGGCACAACGTCTAAGTCATTCGACAAGCAACTTCATAGTCTTGGGTCAGGTCTTCTTTAATCTGCTGGCCATATTTGGATAACATTTCATTCAGAATGTTTTCTTCACATACAGCTACAGTTTTTTTCTTGGTCGATGACGTGAATTCTTTCCTAGTTTAGGGCTGAATCAAATCTTCGCGCAAAGAAAGCGGTCATCGGATCTTGTGCAGACTAGCGGGAATACCAATATATCAAGTACGCACCGTCTTCTGTTTGTTAGATCCGCAGTCTTTCCATGGAGACTCCCATGTCTAGAGACGGTTTCTTTTTCGTGGAAAACGAGTTTCTATGAAAGAGGCCTACTGGAAATAGCAGTCATGCAATGCGGTTTCCATTTTCATTTCTTCCTCTTAATCAAAATCTCTCGGTACTGCATTCGCTTTCGCTAGGCTTTCCTGCTCTGGTATAGAAGTCTCCGACAACAAATTTGAAAAACGCTTCACACTTGTGGATAACTTCCACCAGGTGATAGTAGGGCACATCTAATTTGTACTCACTATTTGCATCGGTCTGTGAATAGCAAATGTGATGGTAGTAATCTTCTTACGACGCATTGGTTGAAGACGGTGGACAGCTATGTCAGTGCAAAGGATCTCGTACGAGTCAACGAGATGGACAAAACTTGATCCTCGCTCTAGTCCTGACTTAACCTTGCACGGTGCTTTGAGGTATTCACCTCGATGTGGACCTGAGGAAACATCTCTTGTCAACGATCTCTTCTTTCAGTCTTTTTAGTAGTTGATTCAAACACGAAATTACAACAGGAATCAGAAATGAATTTAAGAATGAAGAAATGATCGACCGCTTAAGGATCTCGTAAAAGGCTAGAATTCCTACATTAAATTACAGCATAGTAAACTTACACGAAAGAAACCAAAAGAAAACTCCACTTTTGAACGCTTAAAGTGAGCTATCGGAAAACCGCTATTTCACCAAATGGTACAGAAAGCCAAGTAACAAAAGAATAGTAGTTCACTACCTCTCCTTTCACCCATCACATACAGAAAAAGTGCTTGTAAGAAAAATGATTCTAACAGCCACGAGTGTGCGTACAAGAAGAGAGCAGAACAAAGAACCTCTGATTTTGACGAGGCACATAGCCATTCCAAAGACTGCGAAACTATGAATCCTCGGAACTGGTGTGGAGGAAAACTGTGCCTGCAGAAGATATAATATGATGTAATAATACAATTTCAGCGTGAATTAAACCTCGTTTACACTAATGTTTATTTCGAGCGAAGTAAATTCTACTATAAAACGTTCCTTCAAAAGGACGGTGTCGAGAATTCGATTACAATAATTGAGCTATTAGCGGAGACTCTCGGCTGAGAGTTAGTTCGTAACCGTCTGAATGACCTTCTATGCATAATGCTAAATTGCTTAATATGCCCATACGGTAAAAAAGGTGGTCTATGTGTTCGGGTTACAGTGTTGCTGATCTCTGGTAAAATGTGCGGGGACAAATACATTGACGAAACGAAAAGACCACGGTTCGCCACTGTAAAAGAACACCTAGGCGGCAAGCACGGAATTAAACACAATACTCTACTAGGCGCACATAGGATAGGGGCACAATGGGGTGAGGGAGGTGGATTTTTAAAGTAGAAATCACCATCCTCTTAAAGTGTCTAAAATTTCAATCGTGCGAAACTCTGGAGGGCTTCTGGATATGTTCCAAGAAACTAAAAATGAACGGCAGTGGGACCTGAAACTGATATTTTAACGTAAGAGTGACGCATTCATGTAAACCCGGTACGATTCAACTCACCATGGAATATTCTGCGGACGACTCGAGGAAATGGTGATTGTATGAAGAAGCTGTTTTGTTTCTGATGCAATTGGAATTTAAGTATCGTAGTTTTTTCTGCTGAAGTTAAGAAGGCATTTCGCGAACTAAGTTGGAGCTAAGTTGACGTTGCAAGCTTTGAAGGCGAAATTCGCCGAAACGTTAGCTTTTGCGAATAAACAGTGGGATAGCAATCTCTTCATTTCAATTAGTTGGATGACAGGAGGATAAATTCGGACATTCAATGTTTAAAGATTCTTTTTGAGTGTTCATAGAAAATTTTGCACTTATTCGTAATTCTAAGATTTTTGTAAAACTCACTTGTTTAGGCAGTTTATTTCAGACAAAGAAATTTGAACGAATCGCCGAAAGTGACTTCAGTTGGAGCATGGGCCTCTCCCATGACACCGAGCTCGGCTCGACATGTTTCTGGCGGCTTGAGATTGAGGTGCATCGCAAGCTGAACGCCATAGTACTCGTCGTTTCGAGGTTGTCAATACAATCTTTGCCTCGCACGATTTGTACTCAAACAAATGACTGCCTGAAAGCGAGCGACAATGAGCGACAAAAGGCGATTTTATGATTACTGCAAAGAACTGACCAAGTAAAGATGGCTCATTCGCGGACAACCATATTCCCACCTAGTCAAGAAGTTTCCCAGAATTTAAGGGTTCGACCGGGAACTGAATTCTAGAGAAAAAGCGCTTAAGACGTTTAAATTACACAATCTGTACACGAATTAGTAACAATAAGCTATGAAATTGATCAAATCGACGTATCGTTATCGGTTATTTTCAGCGTACATTAATTTCAGGGCCATTAGTTGTTACAGTGATAACACAAAGCGATTGAAACGCGTCCGAAAAGTGTACAGGTTAGGTTCCATAGTTCTATTAAACCGCAGAGGTTAGAAGACATTTCCAGTACTTTTATGGGCAGTAGATTCATGTCTGAGGGAGCGGATAGCACAGTCGTAGTGATATTCGTTATCACGAGCACGGTGTTAGTTCCGGTCCGGGCCAACCCAGCCTCTCATCCCTGGGGCGTCGGGAAATTGGTACCGGACATGCCAAGGAAAAAAAATCAGTCTCTGCAATCCAGTTGGGAACGCTCCAGATCAGCTATCTCAAGACTCCAGAGACCAGCAAGCATTCTACGACTTTCAAGATGAAATGAAAATCTTCAACCAGCAACCGAAGCCACACGTGAAAACTTGGAAGGACTTCGTGGACGATGGATGCGAAGAAATGAATTGGATGTGAGAAGTGCTGCGATCCGCACAGTAGACGTGAAGACGGGTTATATAAGCAAACAAATAAATATGCAAAAAATTCATGTCCTTCTTTTAAGCAATGTAAAGAATCACTAGATAACGCTTTTGTTTACCAACAAAAGATCTGATGAAGAAAGTTTTCACTAACTTCGCACTTAACACTGAGATTACAGATTGCCGGACTGCTATGATGTCAGCACTACAATCACTACAACCTATGACTGGGCGGTGGTGGTCGAAGCCTACAAGCGCGAACGAACTATAGGTTTGATTCGACGATGTGCATCAAACCCTTAGGCAAACTTCACTTATAGCCGAATGATTATACTTTCACAGTGATTTATCACGAGCATGGTGTTAGTTCCGATCCGGGCCAACCCAGCCTCACCGATTCTCGCCACTGTTGCTACATGTGCTCATGCGTTCTATTAAGCGCAACTTCACATTAAACTTCAGCGTGTCTTTGGTTACATTATTAGGGTACTTTGATAGAATATTACTTTCATTTTGCTAGACTTTTAAGCAAACGCGTGGTCAGGCCCTGTGCTCAGTCGTCGACGGTCTTGTCCTCAATCGAAGTAACTATGTTTGGAAAATACGCGCAGAATAACTGCAAATGAGATTAAAACCATCGAAAAACCTCCATATTTTGACTATTTAGGTTCTTATTCTACGACGTATTCATCATATTAAAAGTGGGCATTTTTCTACGATTTCATTACTATCATAGTTCTTTTATGTATCATAGCGTGTTCACTTTGCTACGGTTTTAGGTATTAAATGAATATGTTTTCACTGTTCTTTCGCACGTATCTATACGAAAATAGTTAAGCCTTGTCGAGGAAAACAATTTGTGCTTCCGCATAGCGTGGTGGTAAACGTGTTAGCACCCGAAAAGGGTAATAGCACGCTCGTTTTCCATCGCAGACACTTGCGGTTCGGTGTTTTAAAATTGTAATAGGCAGGTCTGGGGTTTTGCAAATATCTCAGCATCATTATTGCTGTATTTCACATAATACTCTGCCTTGAAAAATTGTAGTAGGCAGCTAATAAAGAAGTCAACTTTGTGATTTGAACTATAGACTCAGGTTAACTGGGTTCAAAGTCCACCAAGGCTCCCCAGATCAATCCCGCTGACGAGTGATTGCTGACGCCACTGTTCAACAGAAAACTAGCTGAGAGAAAGGCGAAGCGAAGGAGCCATATGGTGTGTGTGGTGGTGAACGCGTTACCCTCGGAAAGGGTAATAGCGTGTTGATCCCCGCCGCAGATTCCTGCGGTCCGGGTTTTACAAATATCTCAGCATCGTTGCCATGGTATTTCACATAATGCCCTGTCCTGAAATTCGCGAAAAGTGCTCAAACAAGACAAAATGACCACTGTATTCAAATCACATTGAAAATCTTTATGAAATAGTGTAGTGTATTTAAAATACAAATGCAATAAGTAGAATGTGATCACCAGCAATATTCAACAATCTTAGTTATGCAAAATACAGCCTCTTTGAAAAATGTCGGTGAATGCGTCGCAGTTGCACAGCAGCCGCGTCACGCTTCAGAATCATATCGCCAACCAGTCAATAACACAAATCAACACTGGTTTAAAGAAAAAAAAGTCTAACAGTTCAGTGAGTAGGTAAGCAGCTTAAATAATCAATACATTTAGCAGAAAGCAGATTTGATTCACTGAATCGCAAACAGCATTGTTTGGGCGGATTTTAAAATCAGAGATTAGAAGAAGGAAACAGAGGTCCAATAAATGTAATCGGGTAGATCAAAATATTGTTTGTCGTCGAACAATTGTACTATAGAATCTTAGTGATGAACCAGCGAATTTATGAAAACGCGGGGATTTTTCGCACCTGGCTCGTGACCACTAGCACGGCACGTCACTCTAATAATGCTGACAGCCAATCGCATGCAAGTGGGCGGTCCATGTGCCGTAGCTGTTGAAAAACGATCGGGGCTTTTTCCTTTGCTAATCAAAATTGGTACTCAAATAGGTTTCATAAAGAGTATTATTTATGTACTGTATAGAAAAAAGAGCTGCGACGATACGTAGTACTACAAACTTTGTCAGATAGTTGTATTTTCTCAACAAATACCGGACAGGACTCAGTAGGTAGCAATGTTAAGAACAAACCTCTTTGGTAATGGTGTACATCATGTTCAATAAATGAGAGAGAAATCTTAGATTTCTAAAATATTTCAAGCTATGGTGACGTCATCGAACATAACGAAACTGTGCACTAAATGCCGACATTTTTCATGATTTGTTTGTCATTTTCAAAAGCATCTCTGTTCGCTCTATTACTAACTATCATATGATTTTTGTGCTAGACGTGAGTTGCCTTTAATAATGACTAGAATCATTAACAATGTTTGTTACACGCACGCCTCACGTACGCGTTGCGTTCACCGATCGATCGAATCGCGTCAATAATCAATATGTATGTACACACGCTCTCTATCTGCTTAAATTCATGTCAAAGAAAATCCTTGTCTTTGCCATAATATAGGATATCGCTTGAAAACGGTTTCCGTTTTACCGCTTCATTTATTCATTCGCATCCGGCCGCTCCAATGTTATCGTCTGGATCAGACGGCGGATCTTCACCACTATCGTATTGATCCAAGGGTATTGCCTAAATGTGCTGGTGAGACAAGTCGGTTAAAACTAGTTATGGCAAGGCATGTGCTTTTATCGTTTAATTTTTAGCGACGTTAAGATCTTTGGAAGAAGCTTGCAAACATGTTTACCTTGGCATTTTACTGTTTTATCATTCGAAATGTCTTTTCAACCTTCGGCTTCCAAAGGAAAATAAAGAGATGGCGGAAAAAGTTCTAAATAAATTCGAAAATATGGTTGTTGATTAATTGATTAGATGAAAGAGGCAGTCCGTGTTATAAGATTTGTTGGCTTAGTAAACGTGATTTTATTGGACTAATGTTTATGACCATGAACGTGAATCGACAATTTGTCCGATACGGTTTTTTGTACTGTGATTGGTCCCATATTAAGCAAGACGTGTTATGATTTGTCAGTGATGCTCTCGGTTAGATGAACACAAGTTTGATCGTAGAGTACTAGATTGAAAACTTATATTCAGCAAAGTAACTCCCGCATAACTCCTGTAGCAAATCCTTAGCTAGCACTCACCGACTGGGAATGTCTAATCCTTTCATCAGCGAAATCGGTTAGAATTTCGAAGCATTCCGCCTGAAAAGTTATCAATGAAAGAAGAGTATCAATGAAAGTATCAATAAAAGTGATGCACTTTTTAGTGATTTAAAAAACTTAATGAACCGTACATCCTCTATAACTCCTTGGAAATCGGGCATTGACAATGCTGGTATTGGTATTCTGAAAAAATCCACGTGGAAATTCTTAAAATACATTTGGTGTCTATAACGTAATTAATTAAAACAGTTCGGTCCAACACCGGATCAACCACACATCCCTCCGATATTGCCAAATTCGTATCAGACTTCCCCAAGAAGAGCCCTGTCTGATCCAAGAGGTCTGCTATTCCAGTGATGAATACTCAAAAACGCCTAAACAAGGCTATTCCAGTATTTCACAAAAAATCAACTCTGACAGCATACAGTGACACTCATAGGACCAAAAACGTCAAGCAGCAGCCGATCTGACACGCAAATCCGAAGGCGTTCGTAAATAATTGGTAGAAGGAAACAAGTCGAATGAACGAAATCCTTGGATCTACATAATACGTGGTACTGGGCCAAGTAAATAAAAAAAATTGCAAAAATTTTTATAAAAGGCATTGAAAATGAGAGAAATAACCTACTCCATTGTCCCATTCAACGACGGTCTTGCTCGTTTGCAGCTACTCGGCCTACTGTAAGGGTGGAACGTCGCGCGCGGGATGGCGACGTTCTCGGAGGAGCCACTTTGACTGATCGGCTTAAAAAGGCGTAGTGACAATTAAAACAGAAGTATGGTAACAAAAGGTAAGGAATGATGAGTATAGGTGAAGCGTTGGTAGACCTGATCGTATTCGGCAGGCAGGTCTGCATCGTACAATTGACCACCGGCCTTTCTATCAGCTTCCAGAGCAAAAACAAGCGCCGCTTCATAGTTATCTCGAATTTCTTGGTGTGGAGCGGTTGCCTAGATAGTAAAGAAACAGTAGGTTCAAAAAAATATAACTTAAGCGTCTCAACTCTGTGGGACAACGACTATTTTAAAGGTCGCCAAAAACTCTCTGATTACTGTGAAGAAGTCACAATCTACACAAAAAGTTTTGATAAGACCAAAGATAGTCTTACATAAAAGATCACCTACTTATTTTGAATACTTTAGCATTTTAAAGGTGAATACACATATTCTACCCCACACTTTATCTTTTCGTAGACGATAACACGGCTGAGAAACAGGCGAAATGAAGGACTTGCATGAAGTGGTGGTGAACGAGTTTGCCTCCGGAAAAGGTAATAACGTGTTCGTTCCCCGCTGCAGACACCAGCGGTCCAGAGTTTTCGAAATTTCTCAGCAACATTATGGTTTCTTCATAGACAGAATTGTTTTGCCGAGGTCCATTGCCTGCATTACTTTTCTTTTCCTTCTCATAAACTGAATCACGTTTGGATTGTGCTCATGGAGCTACTCTCCACGTTGTTCTCGGCCATTTTTTCTCATCAGAAATTTTGCAGCAACCTGATGTTCTTGTATATTTAGCAAAAATTAAGTAATCAATAAAATCGGTGTGACGACAATAACGACGGAAAAAAATTTTATAGATGTACTGTACCTGCCATGCGTTCTTATGCGCCCATTTCGGAATACGATCCATTTCATGCATGATCTGGCTGGCCAGCGATATCGATGCATCCCGGCTTCTTTAAAAGTGGAAGTGATAATTTTTTTCTAATAGACAAAAATTATGAGATAAAAGAAAGCTGGTGTAGCAACGATGTTAACGAAAAATTAGATTGGTTGCTAACTAGCAAACGGAACTTATAGCACGAGCCAAATTCAGAGCGGGACCGTCACCTATTTCTTTGTTTATTTGATCTTTTATTCTTCCAACTGTCGTTATAAACGTTTCGGCTCCACTGTGACTTCGATAATATCATATGGTTCGCGAGGAACTCATGACCTTTCGTGTAGAATTTCCCCGAAAGTACGCGTAAAACTTCTCTCAAACAAAAACATCGCTCTACAGAGTGTCGTGATTGGCCACGGAGCGCACTTGTATGACGAAGTTTCTATTGCCACGTTGTTAAGTTTCTCTAAGTATTACGTAGCTATCTGGAAACTCTATAGTTTGCGCGAAGTTCTCATATCTTCTCTTGGAAAGTGAGCCAAAAAAATACAAATTCTTTGATAATAGCATCTTCTGAAACCACTTCTTGTTTCATTCGGCTACTATTCAAAAAGCGTTCATATACTTCAGTGGTGAAAAGTGTCCTGAAATCGTTTTTTTGGTTATTGATCCAGCACACCAAGCCTTTCAATCTCGTGTCGACAAATTGAGTGGATTCATTGGTAGGCTAGTTCAAGGTCCTGTATGGGCCAGATATGCACTGAGTCACTTCTACGACACTATGAATGGAGTCGAATGCAAAGCGCATTCGTCAGGAATTAAACGGAACGGAACGCTTCATCTCTTTATCTTTTATTAAAAACACGTCCTCAGTACCTACCGTTTTCTTCGTTCCAATAACATCGCGATGCTGTCCATTTCCTCCTTGAGCATCGCCACTTTCCGATCTAATTCGGCGAATTTCGCGAACAGTAACTCGTCAAGGTCGCAGAGATTGGCTTGCGTAGCATTCTAGAATATCAAACCCTCACCATTGAGTGCTAAATTCAATAGACATTTCAACATGCGTCTTATCCTATATACTAGTTGCATCCCTAATCCTTCTCATTAAGTCGTTGGGGACTCAATGCTCGTATGAAAGTGTTCTTCTACTGATTGCAATTACTGTATCTGATGACGATTTCAAGTGGTTTAGGTTAATCAATCAATACCACTTTAAACCGAGTAACTGCGACCGCATTAGAAATTCTTAGGCATACCTCTATTCCCAGCATCCAGTTGTTTCTTAGAACGCAACAGTATAGCCCCTGTTCTTTTAGGAAGCCGTTTTTGGAAATGGCACTATATATGGGACACGGCAAACAGCTTTGACAAAAGTTCAGTAACGAGATAAAAAGCTCTGTATTAGGGTTTATTTCCACAACCACATCAAATTTCATTGGGTGAACAAGTTTATTATTTCATAGAAGGGTAGTTACCGAATTAGATACATTTTCACCTAGCAAACTTTGCGTTCCTCCTTCTGCTAGAAATCAAGAAGCTTAAAACCCCTTGATTTCAGGTTGCGATAGTTGCACTATCGTGCTACTGTAAATTACTGAATTAACTCCTTTTGCCCGGTATTTCAAATAACTATATCTTGTAGAAAAAAAAGTTGAAAAAGTGGAAAGGCCTTATTAATTGCTCTGGAAATAAAACACTTCTTTTACTTCGGTAAAGAAACGGTGGATTCTTTTGCTACGTCACCATCTGATCCCTGAAACGATTTCTTAAAGGCCTACAGTTTTTCGTTGTTTTCTCCAGCATAGTCACGCGCAACTATCAAACGCAAGTCAAAGGGTGATTTCGTGCTAAAGCTCCAGAACTTGGTTGGCACAGGGTACGGAGTTCCATGGGAAACGAAACTGCCTCATCTAAGTCAGCTACTGGAGCTTTTAAGTCAGTTACTAAAACTCTAAAAGTTTCTCTAATTCGCGAATGCTGGAAAACTAGACGACATTCTGTCAAGAACAAGTGAGAACAAAAACTACTACTAAGAAAAAAAAATAGCTTACCATATTGTTACTGAGGTCTTTCATAGATGGACAAGTCGAGACGAGTGAAACGGAAGCACGAGGCCGCTCGCTCCCTCTTTCTACTGAGCCACTTCTGTTGCCAAGGTGATCGCAGTGGATTACTGTAGCCGGCGACGGCGGTGACGATAGGACGAGTTGCCAGCCGTGCCGCGGGTGTGGGTGATAGCACACGAGCTCGAGCCGAATCGGCTGTGAGCGACAGCAGCAGTGGGACGAGCAGCAGTAGGAGCTCCGGCTATGCCCCGGCTCTAATTAACCTGGAAATGAGCTCATTAATAGCGTGCAGCTGTCTGGAATCGTAGCGTGGTAGTCACATCGGTGAGGAGGCGGATTCATGGACGGAAGCCGATATGTCCGTCCCTAGGACGGAGGGCGTTAAGACGTTAATGACTCGGACTAATTAGAACGAAGCACATCATAACACAAATTAACGTCATTCAGGTACTAATAAAACCTGACCGAATCAATACGGTCAGTCTAACCCACGTCCACAACAACACAAATTCAGGCGTATATGGCTGCTGTTCAGCGACACCGTAAAATCGGAAGTGAAAATGAAAAGTGGGCGAAAATCTTGTAAAAGATGGCATTTCATCCAGAAAGATTTCACGGAATTCGTTGATTAACAGCTGCGCATACGTTCCCTTCACTTTGCCGTTCTTCACAAATTAGGTCAAAACCTCTCTGCTCACGTAGGTTACTAAAACTTTGAATTTTGTATTAGTTCTTGTAATTCGGACACATGACGCATCTTTTATTTCAATTGCAGACAAAAACCTCTTCTTTCGTGAAATTTTGGTTCATTTCAAGCGGTTGACAACTTTTTAAAACAGTAACGAGGAACATGTCTTTTTACAGTTTACATGACCCGTCATCACATCTACTGTACGGATCCCATCACTTGCCCTAAATTCGTTTCCTCGTGCCCACTATTCCAACATTTCCCTTGTTCTTTCAGCTGACTGCTTGAAGATTCCGTCTTCTTCATGAAAGATGTAGAATGTTAGTGGAGTCAGTTCTCCTTGCAATCTTGGAAATAGTCGAGCTATGGGGTTCCCAAGTGGACTGGAGGAGAGCCTGGGGAGAGATCGAACTAGCGCCTTTGCTTCCTGATCGACTGCCTCACTAACCACTGCGCCAATACCTCAGAAAAGTTATGAAAACGAACCAAAAACAGAAAGGAAGGGAGAAATATTTTCCTTCTTGAAAGTGAGTTGTTCACTTTAATGACAGACGTTGGCACTATTTTGAGTGTTTTAGGCGTTATCATCTCAAAAACTGAGGAATGAGTGCTTAATTCAAAAATAGTTCGAAACACAAAAGCATTAAATAAAACTGAAATAATCTAGCGAACGATCCTTCGAATACCATGACATTAAGTTCTGAGAAAAATTGTTAGTTGTAGAAATCAATAGGTAAACAATAAAAATTTAATAGTTTACATCTTAATGAGTTTTTGAACTCCAAAAGAGCTAATTCTCATGGCACCACTTTGTTATCAAACCACGCTCATTAGAAGCATCGTTGGTCGCCGTACAAGGTGATTCGCATTGAGACTTCGTCCACATCTGATTGCTCCCACATTGTAGGCAGTTCGTAACGAAGTAAGGTGTCGTGCCGAAGACCCATTTCAGGCTGCGTTCATGAATTAATGACGCTAAGAGCGCGACACCTTCGAAACTGGTCTTCGTGTCGGATTTCTGAACGTTCTAACCTCTACCCTAACGACACTCGGCTTCAATGTCAAATGCATAACATGGGACATCAACTTCGAGTGGACCTTATTAAACTTCGTCTTACTAAGCAGTCTATTATTGTCGAAACAGGCTTGTCCATGTTTGCCAATAAATATTATGACACAATAGTGCTCCAAAAAAATTTGCATTGGTCCACGACACGCGATTTTTTCAACTAAACTAGCTCTAATTTTATTCTAAGATGATTATTAACCACCACACCACGCTAGTCCTTCGTTCCGCCTGTCTCTCAGCAATTTCTATCGACCTCTGCCATCAGCAATCACCCTTCGGCCGGATTGATCTGAGAAGCCCAAATCGGCATTGAACCCAGTTAAGCTGAGGCTATATTTGTAATCACAATCTTAACCTTTTTATTTACTGTCTATTTTTTTTAACGGCAGGGTATGTTTTAAAATATAACTACTATAATGCTGAGATATTTGCAAAACTGGGGGCTGCAGGTGTCTGTGGTGGGCAACGAACGCGCTATTCTCCTTTCCAGGGAGTAACGCGTTCACCACCCCATAAGGTTCCTTATATATCTCTTAAAAATATCTCAGCATCCCTGCGGTTGTATTTCGCATAATACCCTGCCATGAAAATTGTAGAGGCAGAAAATAAAAAGTAAACACTGAAATTCCACTTAGTTTATTTCGATTCGATAAAAACATTTTTCTGAAATATTGAAAATATGATTTGGTCAAAGTTTTGAAAGTATTGGTAAATAAAAGTAAACAGGAAATATTTTAAACGCAATAGACAGCCGTTAAACGACGACACCATTTGTTGACAAAAATTAAACCAAACAATTAATCTCTTTCGATTCATCACAGCTCGTTATGATAGATTCTCGTTAAAAAAACTCCAATAATTTTAAAATAATAATAGTTACAACAATAAGTTTACGGTAGTAATAATTAGTCAAGCATATGTGAATTTTCGAGTTTTGTGACGATTCGATGGTAAGCATGGCATCTACTGAAAATCTCAATCTCTAGGAACCGAACGTGGCACTTGTACCAAATAGAAATGCGAGGTAAAAGTCAAACAACTAGGCAGTGTAGGAAAAAATGTGAAAACTCAGGTAGATGACGTCAACTATTCCTAAAAAATACTTATGAATCATATTATTCTAGTCGTAATAATGTAATAGCACAAATGTAATATATATAATTAATATATAATGTAATATATAATATGCAATATAAGGACGGATAACACA